TCGGAGTGACCGCCTTGGTCGCCGGGGCTGCGCGGAAACAGGTTTATTCACTCAGCCCTGGAGGCGGGGAGGCCCAGACCCGGCTCCAGCAGAGTCGTGTCCGGCCGCCCGCATCACAAGGGCGCTGATCCCGCTCGTGGGGTTCCCCACCCTATCACCCCCAAAGGCCCGCCTCCTCATGCCATCGCGTTGTCGTTCAGCATTTTATAGACAAGATGCGGGGGTGGGGGGGTCGGGGGACGGAGTGCGGCGCACAAACATTCAGTCCCTATCCAAGGCCCAGGGTGGGTCGCTGGACTTCGCTGAGCCTCGTGTCTAAGGAAAGGACGATTGCAATCTCTCAATCGCCGGAGCATAGTGAATGTTCAGTAAGCGGGGAAGGGCTGCGGGGTCGAGTAGCTGGACTTGCCTTGGTTTCCCTGGGACAGAGCAAACAGTGCGTGGGACCAAGCGGAACAGGCAAGGAAGCCTCTGAGCACGGCTGTGGCAGCAGGGGACAGAGCCCAGTCCAAGCTCAGCTCCGCTGAACTGTGGGCCGGGACTGGGGAGTGAGTGCCCGAGGCTTTGTGGTATTTCCTGAGGTTGAAAGTCTTTCCTCTGCGTTTGGGCCGTCTGTGTTGGCTGGTCGGTGCCTCCTGCTCTCCCACAGGGACTGGGATTGGGTCGCCATCCTCCAGGGTGATGACTTTTCAAAGAACGACTCCCAGGCCCTTGAGAGAGACATTTTCGGGTTGTGAAGCAGGAAAGCGGCTTTAAGAAAGGGCTACCTATATTTCAAAAAGACAGAAAAAGAATGTATAACGGGAAGTTTTGTAAAGAAATTGCTTTAAGGGAGGTCAGGACCTGGAGCCAGGAGGAGCCTCTGTAAAGGTCAGTCAAGCTCAGAGGACTGTTCAGGCCATCGTAGTTACTTCATTGTATGCAGTATAGATGGATCTAAAAGACATTCATATTTTAGTAGGATTAAGAAAGATGCCATGTTTCATTCAGAACGTTCAGTGCTTTATAAGAAAAGCAAATGAGGTAGTCTAGTGACTACAAATCTCATTCGAATAACTTAGGACCGTCAGGAATATAATCGCTTAATTTTCAATAACCCCATCTCATTGTTCTTTTGAGCCCACATGTCAGTAGGTTGCCCTAAAACTTTTCAGACCCAAATCAAGCAGAATTGACGACTGAGCTTCTGGGCCAGATGGAGCCACCTGTTCAGCTCAGCCTGGTCCTGGAGTTTTCACAGTGGCGTCTCATCCATGGGTTGTCGCTAGTTGGTCTTGTGAGGAGGGATGTTGGTGGGAAGAACCTGTGTTGCCACCTTGATGGCAACACCTTGATGGCAACACCTTGATGTTCCCACCAACATTCCCCTATAGATTGTTTTTTAATTAAATGTCCAAGTTTATTTCTTATTTTTAAAAGTTTGAGTTGTTACCTTTTTATGATTGGCTTGTCGCAATGCTTTATATATTCTGGCTACAAGTCTGTTGTTAAATATATGTATTAGAAATATTTTCTCTCCTTCTGTGGCTTTCCTTTTTAATGTCATGATGATAGTTTTTGATGAGCAGAAGGTTTAGATTTTGATGAAACTGCTTTTTATGGTCTGTGCCTTTTCTGTTCACTTTGAGAAATCTCTGCCTACCCCAATCAAAGTCACAAAGATCTTTTTTTTTTTCCTGGTAGTTTTATTAATTTCACTGTTATGTTTAAGTCTTGGAGCCCTTCTTCCTCCATCCTTTGAAATTCTAATCTAATGCCCATTTGTGAAATTTCTAAATCTCATATATATATATATATA